TCCGATCATCATGAAAATAAGAATTTTCCCGAGCAGCCTTGATCTAGTTCTCTTCAAGTTTTAATACACTGTGCACTCATACAAATGCTCTATGAAAACTTTCAAGGGTAATTTCTGCCCTTTGTTTCATTTCTGGGATTAAAGTTTATTGTCACATAAAACCAAACATATCTCATGTATCTATGCAGTATTTATCCAAGTACATCTGATACTGTTGATGTGTAGACCTCTCATCATGCCTTGCAGTAACTCTTTTATGGTGCATGTTAGTCATTTCATCTTTATCCCTTTTGTATTAACATTCCCTCTCTAATCTCCGTTCTTCCTCTCACCTCTCATCTCATCTCATTTTTATGAATAGCCACATATTGTGCAACGTTAAAGGACATTTTTAATATGAACTCAAGACACTGCCTGAAGTGCAAAAGCACCTTTAAACCTTTTCTGCTCAAGATAAATGTTCTTATTATTAGTAACAGTACTATTCATATCAGTATTAGTATTATTTAATATTATTATAGTATTTCATAGTATATTGTTCTAAAGTGTACAGCTAATTGTTGCACAGCTTTTGTAATGGAATGAACAGATTGATTTTTACAAATATTTGTCTTAACAGGTTTCATCTCTCTCATGATGGTGTGCATCACAAATCCCACTTTTTTGCAAATGTTATGTTACTCTGTCATTTGTTCCAATAGGGTGACAGAGGCCCTCCAGGTCTGCCTGGGCCGGATGGATTTCCAGGTCCACTGGTAAGATTTAGTCTGTTAAACTGCTTGATTGGATTACAAGTTACTTTTAAGAGTTAAGATCATGTATACATACACATTTTTAGACGTGTGCACAGACGCATTCACACACCCACTGTATCAGTGTTCCCACTGTCCTCTCTCTAACATCGTTGTTAGCCACTGACGTTAGCTGAGGCCTCAACAAGCACTTAATGTGGTCAGTATTCGGTAACCCAGTCAGAGAGGCTGCTCTCTGCCTGTCTTCATTCTGTCCGTCTACAGAATGTCTCAGTGGAAAGGAACATATGCATATAGTATCTAAGCATTTCTTGGTAATTCTTCTTTCTTTGTTCTTATGTCCAACTTTGTCTTCTTCACTATCTTTGGGATACCTCTGTCTCTGCATATCTTGAGCTTCAAGATGTGTTGCTGTCTCCCTTAAACCTGATAGGCTTTGAGGTCAAGGCCATAGGTGATCTGAAAGAGGAAAGGCACTATGCTCAGGGCCATGGTGTTTATGACATGCACAGTATCACGTGCCTCCTCGGGTCATCAGCTGTCAAAACTGAAAGATGAGAATTTCAGGGACCTGCTATCAGTGAATAAATGACACCACCTCAAAAAAAAGCACATTGTTGTTGCCATGCTCAGCTTGACTGTTGGTGGAATTGAACTTATGATGTTCTGATTTGCTATAGTAGGTTGCCCTGCCTCCCACATGGCTGTGTCCACACAGTTATGAGGTAGTTTTTTACTGAAGCCCTGAGTCTGGCTTCCACATATAGTATAGTAGCTGACCCTCATCCCCCCTCCCATTATGCTATCCCTATGTTTGTAGTATTTGAACCTAATATAGCCAGCACATGACCTGTGCCCTGTCAAGCATCTTCAGAGGCAATGACTATCTCGTGCCCTATGCTCTTACCTCCAACATGGTTTTTTATCGAGTGTGAAGGTTCATTTGTCAAAACCTTGGATGTGCATAGCAGAGTTCATGTTGCTAAATAAGAAGATCTCCTGCAGCCCCCAAAGATACTGTCCTGATCCAGGCCCTGTGTTTTGGAGCTGTAAATATCTGTTGTTCATTATCATGTACAGTATAAGGCAAAAATAAATGGTCTTAAGAAAAGAAAATCTCTGATTGAGCAATAGATCCTGGTTAGTTTATAAAGAAGAAGTGCTTGTTTAACTAGATGTGGGATCTGGATGTAGCATAAAACTGACTGTGAATTAAAATGAACCAACTTCTCAAATAATTATTTTGCATTCTATGTTAATTTTTTGGAAAGTTTTTATGTTTTAATTGTGTCAGTTTCTTTTTAAAATCCACCTTCATTTTTGTAAAACTATTATCAAACACATTCAAATGATACTCGTGCATGTATTGGAATTAGCCTGCTGCCGCCAGAACAAACCATCCAAGTTCAGAGATCCTAGAGTGGCACCAACAATGCTGCCTGCAGAAAAGAGGATTGAGATTATCCCTAGAACCTTTAACATCCGGTAACATCAGATAGTTTATAAGTTGCTCAATCAAATGACTCTCTAGCATCCCCTTTTATCCCTTCTTTTTTGTCTACAGCATAGGTCTAGGGATGGCATTGTTGATTGGTCCACCTTGATCCGAGCTAAAATATTTTGACAAAAAAGTTGTACATGGTGAACATACCTGTTAAACAAATAACTATTGTTTTATTCCATTTTCAAGGGTCCTAAAGGTTATCCAGGTCCACCGGGACCTCCAGGAGAACAAGTAAGTAGCTTGTTAAGTTTGTTAACAAGAGAAAGACTTTAGTGCCAGAGATCAACAGGTCTCATGAGCGCTAATGGGGCATGTGTCAAATAATAAAACCCTTAAACTTGACAGTTGGGGACATGTTATAGTGGATGCACTGATGCCAGCAGTCATACAAAAACAGATCTCATCTATATGCAGTACTGTACTTATGTAGGTGCACACACACTCATAAAGTACACAGCTGTGTCTGTGTGCATTACCAGCCAGTTAAATCAGTCCTCCAGCTGTCCCCTCTAGTCAGCAGTTTCTTTTACCCTCTATTCATCCCCCTCTCTTTGATGGAAAAACTCTTCACCTCATCAAAATGCTAACAATTAACAAGCCTCATTACACATTAGAGCCTTCTGAAGTCCACATCAGAAGGCTTTATGGAAAAAGGAAGGGATTAATTTCTGTGAACTCCAGGGATTACTTTGATGCCAGTTATGCTGTGATCCAACAAATGGAGTCAGAGAAATCCGGTGCCACTGGTGTTTGTATTTGTTGCCACAAGCCAGTGATCATTTCCATTACAAACTTCAAGAGCAATGAAGAAATAAATGGTTTACAATCTGCCATAACAAAATAATTCATCATTTTGCGAATGCAAGTACTTGGCCAAGTAAAATTAAGCACATTTATATTGTGCTGGATAAGAGCATCAGCAGAATGTTTAAAGTGTAACATATTGCAAGAATTTTTAAATAAGAGCCGAGTCAGTGAGGGCGGGGTGAGCCGGAAAGGTGCAGAAAGGTAAAGTTAATGGGCAGGGTTGTCTAGAATGAACAGTGCTCGTTTTATTCCACAGTTGGCAGTGCTGGTGTTTCTCCTCTTTCACTTTATCAGTCATCTAATCTCCCTATTCCCTCTGTGTCTCTCTGCTGCAGGGCATACCAGGACTTCCTGGAGAAGCTGGGGCTGTAGGTTACCCTGGCAGGCAGGTGCAGTGAAAAATATAAAAATCTGCTTCCAGTTCATCCACTGACCCTCCTAGATTCTTTATTCCTCCACTGAGACCTCCAATGGGAATGCTCAGTAATAATACTGATTTCCAGTGCACATTTCTTAACCCATTTTGGATTTGTAATTAAGTTCACAATGTGTAAATTAATTAAATGCATTTCCTGAAGTTTTTGATGTGTGCAGTCTGTGGATTTTAACCATATGCAATGCCAGCAGTGTGTGCTAGGAACTATATAGTGCAACTCAAAGTACAAAAACCATATGTTTTCTTTTAGCTGCTTGTCAGTCGGCCAGCTGTAATTCTCTTATCAGGCCAGTCAGAGTCTAATGTGTTTTGGTTTGCCGCATAATGTGAAATCACCGCGTTTGTGTGTACTGTGACGATTGGTCTTTGCTTTGTTGCAGGGCCCAGCTGGGCCACAAGGTAACCCAGGGCCTAAAGGCGTCCGTGTAAGTACAAATAGCTCTCTGCTCTCATTCTGGCCTTTTTTCCTGAGTAACGCTGGTTTGAAAACTTCATTTCCTGAACGGATTAGACCACTGTCAGGCCTTCAGCCTTGCTCCACAAAGACTGCCCAGAGTATGAGTTTTATTTTTGACATACTACCTGATAGAGATGCACTACGTGATTAGAGACTGCATGTGTCTCTATGAAGAGTCTATGGTTCTTCTTAGTTTGGTTCATTCCACATCAAGTAGGAATGCCCCAAAACAGCAGAACATAGGAAAGAGAAGAGGATAGAAGCAAGTTAGATGTTGGCAAGTATGAAAGCAGAAGGAAGAGAGTCAAATGAGCTAGTGAGAGAAGGAACTTCAGTGGAGCACAGCATCTCAGAGAAAGACGATAGCTGGGATTACATTGTCAGACTGAGGCAGGCAGAGTGAAAAGCAACCACAAAGACAGATAATCCATTTTATACGGTAGGTGTGTGAGAGAGGACAGGGTCCCACAAGTGACTCATTCATACATACATACATATTACACCCAGGCCAGCCAGTGGCACCAAACATTTATCCAGAATGTCTATAGGATATATAGGGCCATGTCACAAATGTTTAAGAAACACAGAAAATATATGTAGAAATGATAAACAATCTCCAATGACAGTGTGAACTTATGGATATGATGATATGCGCATAAATGCTGCGATACTGGTCTGTGTCACCAGATCAGGGTATTCAAGCTACTGGCAGCCAAGTTGCTGTGATGTGGTATGAATAATTAATAATCTCTTCTGGATGACCAGTGTGGCCTTTTGTCCAGCATCAGACCAAAAGTTCTGCCTGATTGATTGAGCATGGGGCAAAAATGTTACTAGTTATCCACAGCGAGAAAAAAGTCCTCCACTTTATGATTACAAACAACGTGCATTGTTCATGGCTAAAGTGATTTATTCATTTCCAGGTTGAGTAGAAGTACTGTGGCGAGATTGTTGTAATGAGAATTTGCAGCACAGTGTTTAAAAATGTGGTTTTCTTGTAATGTTCAGACAGTATTGTGATATGACATATTGCTGATTTCCAGGGTTTCATTGGGCTTCCTGGTGTCGCTGGGCCACCAGGGCTGGAAGGGGAGAGAGTGAGTGATGTTTCTTTATATTAAGCATCACGTCTTTTTACTCAGATTACTGTGTTCTTGTCTTCCCCCTCCAGTTTTTCTCCTTCATTGTCTCGTACTTATTAGTGTGGTTTGTAACATGCCAACTTTCCTGAGAGTTTTAGCACTTTGTCACCATTTTACTGTCACCTTTCTTCTCATGTATCTTGATTTATGTTGCGCTACTATCCACTTACTTGAAATCTTTTGACTTGCAATCATATGTATTTTTTTTCTGTCCTTTTTAAAACAATTATTAAACTACTACAGCTTTAAAATGTACTGAATTAGGTTACAGAAAAATGTATATTTTTCACTTTGGCTACGTCTAAATGACATCACTCTTTCTTTCATTCTTGTTAAGACTTCAGTCTCAAGGAACTCCAGCTTTTTATGGCTCTGTTATTTCACTGCTCGGTTTGTGTCAAGGAAAAGTTTACCTCAGTGTGATGAAACAGTTTTTGAATCTTGGTTTGCCTACTAGCCTGTTAAATATCTCCATTTTAATCCAGAAGCTGAAGGCTGTTTTAACACCAATTACTAGGGAGCAATAACATTTCATGTCCCAGATTTGAGTTACTCATACACTTGTTTTCTGCTTGTCTTCTTTTCTAGGGCATTCCCGGTCCCATTGGAAAACCTGGTCCCAAAGGAAGACATGTAATAATTTATTTTGATTCCTGTCGTAGTTCATAGCTGCTTCCAAACAAAAAAAAAAGTACTTTTGTTATGTGTCAGCAGCCATGGATTCTAGCCATAGGAACAATTGTCTGTGTCTTCCTGTGTGTTAAAATTGGGGAGATTGTCCCACGGACACCAAAAGAGAATAATTTCCACGCTCCATCTGTTCTGAATGCCCTAATGGAGCATGACATCGAGGGCCAGTGGTTGAACAGTGTACAGAGAGATGAGATGAGATGAGTAACTCATTTAGAAGAACAGTATTCAGTATGTGGCAAATGTTTGATGGTATGTATTTTGACCTAGGTCCTGCAGTGCCAAGTTTTTCAAGGTGGCATTGAAAAACACATTACATTTAGATTAAGACAGACACAGCTGGAATGTCTGGGTTGTGCCTTCACACTGTGAAAAGTCAATGTTTTAAGAGCAAGCCGTAGCTTCTCTGTGTTTGCCAAGTAGGCAGGCAGCCTAGTGTCTTTTCTATCCAAAGGTTTTTTTTTCGTTGTTGTTGGAACTCATGTTTGGCTAACTGTATCCAAGTCTGAGGCCCAAGGTTTGTTGTAAGCCAACCCACAAACTCGCCAATGGAATGGTTCATTAAATAAAAACTACTGTATTTTCGCACAGTGTCACTGCAAGTTTGATCAACAGTTTGGGGTTAGTTGCGTGTTTAATACAATAGTATATGTAAAGTAAAGACTGAATGCTGTGCAACAGCAAATGTAGAAATTAAGTAACAGTTAAAAACACAGTGCCCTGACTTTACTCAATTAAATGTTGATGTACTTCCCCCACAGGGTGTGGGGGGTGACGCTGGGGAGAGGGGGCCTTCTGGTCCTGATGGCAATGAGGTGAGAGAATTGTCCTACACTTTTCATCTCTGCCCGCTATTTCTCTTTTCTCTTCTAAATCACCAGAATCCGGCTCCTCACGTCTTACACCTGTGTATAACTGATAGGCTTACACACAGGAGTCATGTACATGAGGATATTACTGAGCATTTTAGGTTTTTCTTCACTGGGCAATGAGACAAATGCCTGAACAACCTTGACTAGTTCATTTGGAGGTACAGTTAATATGTAGAAATGCTATGTCATCAAGGAGCTTAGCACACAAAAACATAAAGTTACGCTAGAGTATTTCCAGTGCAGCCTTGGGAATGATGAGTGTGTACTGTTAGTGTCCTGTCCTGTGTACTTAGGATGTTGCTGTGATGTTTCACAGGGGCCCATTGGTGGGACTGGCAATAGTGGCTTTCCTGGTCTGAGGGTGAGTATTAGTTTTGCAGTGAAATCACTTTTATTGCCTCCACCATGGCAGAGCTAATGTCTTTGCCAGTGTTTCTTTGCTTGTTTGTTTGACGTCTGGAAAGTGTGGACACCATGATTAAAAGTTGATAACAGAATAGTTTTGGTTATTACATAAACAGAATCATATATTTGAGTATAAACCTTATGTAGCCAGAGCCACATGAGGTTTGGGACAGTTCTCCAGGTTATGTCCCTTTTGTTTTTTTCTGTTGATGGACTCTTAATCACTCTATTACTTTTATGTTTTGTGGTAATTTTTAATTCTTTCACCAATCATTAATTCATAGAATCTGTGTTTTCAAACTACACAATTACCCAGTTCCCTGGAAAAACAATTGGAAGCACAGAAATCAGTTATTGATAATTAAAGGGGATGTAGTGGTTATTTCACATTACATCAGGCAAATTATTACCAGTACTCTTAAGTAATCATACAAGAAAGCCAAAAACACTTAGACCTCCTTAACTCAGCGTTGATTTAAGTTCTGTTTTGTCAGCTTTCCAGTTGAGTGATTCAGAAACAAGATAGATCTTACAAAGAGCTTTAATTGACATTAAAAACTCGTTTCCACTTCCCAGTGTCAATCACAACCATGTGTTCACTCATTTCCACAAAGTTAGAACTTTAGTTAGGCGATGAGAAAGAGAGCAGCAAACAGAACAGCAAGTGTTCGTTCTGGTATGCACTTGATTTCGTTGCCAGTGTGTGACTCAACAAATTGTGATCCAGCCAGACACTTAATACCAGCCTGAAAAAAAAGTTAGGTAGAGACTAAAACAGATCTTTTTTTCAGGCCTTTTTGGTGTTTGTTGCTGCTTTCCCATTCTCACTTTTTTGAGAATTTTCATGTTGTATGGTTTGACCTGTATATACAGTGATTTAATGTACTTTCCCAGCTGGTGTGTTGCATTTCAAGTATATAATATAGTGCATGATGCTGTCGGTGTGAAGGCATTTTATGTCTGATTGAATTTGCTGAGGATACAGTGTTTGTTTTGAAACAA